ATGAAATCCGGCCATTTGTGACAACATGGATGGATATTGAGGGTATTATGCAAAGTGAAATAAGTCAGAGGGAGAATTTCAAATACTGTATGATCTCACTCATTAAGTAGTAGATAATAACAACAACAAACAAACACATAGAGACAGAGATTGGATTGGTGGTTACCAGAGGGGAAGAGGGGAGGAAGGAGGGCGAAAGGAATAATTTGCCACATGTGTGTGGTAATGAGTTGTACTTAGTATTTGGGCAGTGAACATGATGTAATCTATGCAGAAATAGAAGTATAATGATGTACAGCTGAAATTTATACAATGTTATAAACCAATGTTACTGCAATAAACAAAAAATTTAAAAAAAAATCCCAAGTCAAAAGTCAATCTATTTATTGCTCTATTTATTTACCTTCTACCTACCTATCTATTTATCTATCTATCTATCTATCTATCTATCTATCTATCTATCTATCTATCTATTATCTATGTATCCATCCCTCTGTCTATCTATCTACCTACCTAACCATCTATCAATCTCTATCTTTGCATCTGTCTATCTCAGGATTTAAAGATTTGTTAAATATCATTTAGACAAATTCCTTATCAGATTATCACATCTCGATTTCAATATTAGTCATCATCTTCTTGTCAAATCACCCCCTAGAGTGATAAGGAACTTACCAGTAAGTAGAAAGAGCTCTACATAGATGCTTTGGAAGAACTCAAGTGTGGGTATAAATGTAGCTTCCACCTCTTAGGAGCCAAAAGAACAAGCAGAGTATAGTCTTTTTATTTATAGACTAAGAAATATCATGGTTTAGTCCACTTATGGATTTGGTAGACATTACCCTGCTCCCTGATACCTGGTTCTCTCCTTCTAGGCACACAGATGACTGCATTCTCTGATCCCTTGAAATTGAACAGGTTCATTTGAATTTTTCTGGCCATCTGGTTGGGAGCAGAAGGGATGTGTGTCCTTTCTGTGCGAAGCATTTAATTGCTGGCGGGAGACCTACTCTCTTCTTTCCCCTGCGTTGTCGTTGTGGAGGAGGCCTTGTGTGGGAATGGCGGGATGAAGAACAGCTCAAAGCAGCTTGGATCACAGAGTTCTCATATGGAAGAGAGCCATCTTGACGCATCTGTCCTGTAGCAAACTTTGTATGAATAAGAAATAAACTTTTGTCATGTTAAGTCATTGAGATGTGGGAGTTGCTACCATGGTATAACCTAGTCTACATTAACTAATACAATGGACAACTATAAAGGTCTGCACCCCTAGAAATTTATAATTTTCTTGAGAAGCTGTTTGAAAATCACTCGTGTTGGGACTGAAGTACGAGAGTGAGCCTCTTAGCTGGTGATGAATGACTCTATTCAAACTGCTATATCTTTACCTAATACATGATCTTATTTCATCCTCAAAACGTCAGGATGAAGTTGTTAATGTAACATCTACATTAGAAATATGGATGTGATATAATTTTCTGTGGAAGCATTTTTAAGTTGGGAAAATCCCAAAGGCTTCAGAATGTATCATTCAAGAATGTCTAAGTGTATGTTGTAGTAAGAGGGAAATAATGGATATATATGATAGCTACATTCTTACATTAATCAACTGTTAGCCTCTCTTATTTTTCACCTAACATATATCTCAAAAGCCATCTTCCTCTAGAACGGCGATACTTTTCCGAGACAATCATGCTCCTGTCGGAGCTTCCTAGCTCCCCTTGGATCCCATTCATTCTGCTTCTGCCGATCACCTCCTGGACCTTGGGGATCACTGTCTTCCTTGGTTGAGCTGCTTCTGTGCTGGCCTCCGTGGATGAGTGATGTGACAGGCTGCCCTTTCTCTTTACTGGCCTTTCATAAATTCCCTATAATACAATCAAAACAGCTTATGAATATAATTGATTCACTAAAAAGTTGGGGTAACTGAAGAGAAGACAATATAGGAGACACAATTAAAAGATTAATGCTAAATATAACTGCTTTCAAAGTTCATGGGGAAAGAACAAACCTTTAAATTAAACTGTTTTCAGGATATGCTACATGGATATTGCACACTTTCTAATTTTGACCTCGGTCATAAGGTCTGCCCTTTCTCCTTCTTTCTGAGAAAGTCTTCATCATCAACCTTTACAGCGCCCGTTTCCACTCTCCTTTGTGAAAACTCCACTCTCTATGTACAAGGTTTTGCCCTATCATCAGTCTCCTCTCTCTACTCGGCTAATCCATAAGCCCCCACAGACCTCAGCAAAAAGTTTCCCGAAGATGACGTGGGTAAATATGGAATGAAATGAGAGTCCAGTGTGGGCTCTGACCCATCCAAGTGAAAGTCCAGTGTGGGCTCTGTCAGCTTGAGGTACAGCTTTGTCTCCTGTTGTTCCCAATATTCAGCAAGTAACTGTCATATAAAATACATACAAAACACATTGCGTGCACACATACACATTCATCTCAAAGACAACTCAAAATTCTCAGAAACAACCCACCCTACGTTCACATTAAGGAAAAGAAACATTTTCCTAACTACAATATCATCTTCACTGGTTCCTTGTCCTCAAGGATACTAGTAGTTTGCAGTACTGGGCATGACAATAGCAGTTCCCAGAGATGACTCTTTATCTTTTGAATTTAAGCCCAGGATCTCCCAGTGCTCGAGAAATGCAGCCCGTTAGAGGGCCAGCCACCTATTGATATCTACTTTTTAGCTGTATTGAAACCTACATGTAACATTACACCTTTTGTTTACTTGATACTCAGGAACGTTCTTGGGACATCTTTCTCACTTCCCTGTACAGACTATGGGTTGGAATTTGGGGCAGGAGAAGTTGGTTTTCCAAGCCCATAAGAATCTAGCATTAGTTTTAAAACAATTATTGGCATATTTGTCTCATGTAGACAGGAACTGATATGTCTGCTTCTTCGTATTTTTCCACCATTTGATGATAGTCCATAAAATTCTATAAGTGCAGCAATGCACACGAATTTGGGGGAGGCATTAATTTTTCTGTTTGTCTGACTATAATGAGAGGACATCCTACCATTAACCCATTCTCTAAATAAAAATCAAGTTCTTCTCCTCTTCCTCCTGACCACTGTACTTCGGTCATTAAATTATCATTCTCCTTGGCACATTGTTTTGAATTTTTGATGGCAACTGGCCCAGATCAATTCCTAAGCATTCTATATTTTTTCTTTGTAACATCTCTAGCAAACCTCCCCTTTCTTCATTCCTTTTTCTATGGCTAAATTATTGTGATATTCTCTCTTCCAATCTCCTGACTTCCAGAAGCTCCATCCAATCCTGCATCGTAGGCACTAACTAGAATGAAGGATTTTTTAAAACACAAATTTCTTCATGCCTTCCCCTTGATGCCAGTAATAAATAACTAATACTTATTCGATGTCCCCTCTATACTAACTGCCTTGTGTGTGTTGTTTCTCAATCCCTTGATAACCTTATGAGGTGAGTGATATTATTATCCCCATTTTACAATTGAGGTAACTGGCGCACAGACAGACTAGTTAACATTGTCACAGTCACGCTTCTGGACCTGGTTGAGCTGGGATCCATAGCCAGGCAGTATGAACTCCAAACCTGTGTCACGCTATGCTGCCTCCAACTACAAATGAAAATTTAAAAATGACTGCTTTAATAGATTCTTCAATCCAGCAGATAGGACGTTAGGACTATTTAGTAGGTATGACCTCTAAACATCAGACAGGCACAGTTCTTTGACATGGCCAGCGAGTCATATGGCATAAACCTGCCTAGGGGGAACGCCAGAAGTTGTACTGAGGCTTTTAGAAATGTGGGCTCTCCTTCAAGAGCACAGATGGAAGAATTTCTTTTATTCTTCTTTTTTTATATTTTTGTAACTTTTTACCACTTTGGGAGAAACATTTGTTGTACTCTGTGGATCCAGAACAGGGGAATTGGGCTCAATAATAGTAAATCTTAAATTTATTCTTATCTTGAGTACCTTTCTGATTCTGGCTGATAGCAGACGGGAATCAAGGGTATAACTTAAGAACAGCAGTTCTCAGGATATTTTAAATTAAAGTTGTTTGGGGATTTATCAGTCTTCGGAAGTCTCCTCTAGATAATTCAGTCTATGGGTTTGGGAATAGAAATTTTTTTCTTATTTTTAATTTGATTTCTGACCTTTCTGCTCTCCCTCCCCCCAAAACCCCCTCCCTGTCCAAATATGTCAATTTTAAATTTTCTCCTCAATAGGTAAAGCAAATAATAGGGCAAGTGGTTTGAAACAAATGGCTTGGCTTTTGAGGGTGGGCCTTGCCCCAAATTGAGATTTAATTTAGCCTCTTACTCTCTGTGTGCGTCTCTTGCTACTGTATCCCTCTCAAACCATCCCACCTCACCCCTTCCTCCACAGATACGATTAGGTAATCTTTCCCTTTCCGCTCACCAGTTCTTACTTCCTTTCAAGCACACTCCATCCTCCCCCTTCTTGTAGTATTCTAATAATGTCTGCATTACTTGATCCCATTGCTGCTCTACCTGCTACCTTATTTCTCCTCCTTTTGCCTCTAAAACTATCAAATATTGATAGCCGAGACCCAAATCTAAATACTTCCTGAGTTCTAAACCTAGCTCTCCTGCTAGCTCATTATTGGTACTTTGAAGTCAAAAGACATTGACCTGAAGTCACTGACCTTCTCTGTCAACCAGATCTGTTTCCTCTCCTGAGAAACAGATCATTTTTGCAAATGGTCTCTATGGGACCCGTTCAAAGGTTTGGAATCTCTTTCAATTTTCCCGGTCTTTGTTTTCTGTATTGAACCACTGATTTACTCAGAAAGCATTTATTGGGCACCAACTGTTATGCCCAGTTCTGAAGATACAAAGATGACTAAAATGGTTATTTAACCATTATAATGTGTTTGATGTGTGTTCTTGAATTTTGTGTGTCTTTATAAAGCATGTGCTGTTTCGTATGGGTTTACTTAAAAGGTATTAAGCTATAGATATTGTTTCTCATATCTTTTGCTCAGCCTTATGTCTTTAAGATCTCTCCATGTTGATGTGTTTAATATCCTAATAGCTAAGATAATGTATGTAGTATTCTGACAGATTCTAATAGCTGTGCACTATTTCATAGTGTGCATTCTTTTTTTTTTTTTTGGTAGACTACTTCCAATCTCACTATCAGCAACAACATTGATGTAAATGTGTCCCTTTCTGGTCATATGTGAGAATGTCTCTTAGAAATATGCCTAGGAGAAGGATTGCTGGGTCATAGTATACAATTGTGCTTATAGCCACAAGTCTTATATCTACCAAGAGAGCATGAGGATCCTGTTTCCGCTCATACCCTCCTACATACGGCATTATGCAATTTTCTAATTTTTGCCAATATGGTAAATTTCAAGTGGTATCTCGTTGTTTTAATTTGTTGTTTTCTAATTATAAGTAAGTTGGAGTCTTTCTTGCATATACTTACTGCCATTTGAGTTTCTCTTTCTGTGAATAGCTTGTTCACATGCTTTGTCCCTTTTCTATTGAGTTTTCTGTATTTTTTTCATTAATTTGTGGAAATTTCTAGTAAATTTTAGATATTTGTGCCTTGATGGTGTTATATTTTGCCAATATCTTTTTTCAATGAGTCATCTGTGTGTTAATTTTTCTCTGTTGGTCCTTGTTAAATTAAAATCCTTAATTGTACTGTTATCCTAATCCATCATTTTTTTACCTTATGGTTTATGCTTTTTTGAGTTATGCTTTAAAAAACATTCTTTCTCACCCTAAATCATAATGATATTCTCTTACATTTTCTTCTTCTAGGGTTATAATTTACTATTTACATTAAAATATCAATTCATTTGGAGTTCACTAAACCCAGTATTATTTTTAAACATAGAGCAAACTAGTTTTCTCTTTTCTATCTTCTGAAGAGTGTGTCTTTTATTTATTACATAGACCAGGAAACTGAAGCTTGGACATTTAAATAATTTGCCTTATGATATAAGCAAGTAAGAGTCAGAGCTGTGATTCTCACCTAGGTTTCTTAACCTCAGAGTTCATAAATGCTCTTTCTTCTGTGCAAGTCCCCTTCTATATTGCATTTTCCTTGAAGGCAGAGGCTGTGCATAGTCATGTTTTATGCCCAGTATCACTGAGAACAATGACTGGCACGTGTAATTGCTTAGTAAGTATTTATTGGAGTGGCGGAATTTTGTTCTAGCACTCTCTGTCCTTTTACCCTCTGCAGATTATCATAAAAAGTTGTAGAATTGGCTTTTTGTTCATTCTGCTGACAAACACTTTCCCCAAAGTGCTGCCTTTTGATTAGATTGGCCTCAGCCTCTGAAAGCTGGACATGCTCCCGGGCTTGCTGGTGGAGATTTGACACTGCCATTTAACTTGAAGAGTGGCACTTTGGTGGCACTACTGGAATAAGTCCAGTAACTAATGGGAACGTCAATGATGAATTCAAATCTGGGACACATTAAGGTAATTGTGTGGAGACGATAGCTCTGGAGATGTGAATTTTCATCTCTATCTTGATGCTACATTTTAGCCACGTCCTAACTGACAAGCTTCCCAATGATGCACTTGCAAGCTTAATGAGAGCTGCTATCTCCTTTTCCAACTGTTCGTTGTGGGAGTGGGTTGTATAAAGGAAATTCAGTTTCAGTCTTTGGTTTTCCGCCACAAATGACAGTATTTGGATGTGTCTGTGATTTTTCCAGGTGTTGGCCATGTCTGACCTAACTTCCTGCCAGCTCATAATGATGTGGCTCTAGTAAGGAAACTACCAACCCATCTCTGAGCCTGTTTGCTCATGTATTTCACACAACCATCAGCATTTGTCTGGAGGATTGCCTTAGAGGTTTCAGTGGTGGCTGACTATCTAATGGGGAAAAGAAAGCTGTCTATGAGGGCAGAATTTAATTTTTATGATGGTGTTTTGGCTTTGATTGTATTATTAGTTGGGGGCAATGCAGGAAAAAAACCAAACAAGCAGAAAATATCAGATCAAGTCTTCAGTACTCCATACTACCTTGTGAGATGGAACCCCAAACCTGCACCAATACTAATTTAGCTTTAGAAGTCAGAGTAGAGGGGCTGGCCCAGTGGCTTAGCGGTTAAGTGCACGCGCTCTGCTACTGGTGGCCCGGGTTCGGATCCTGGGCACGCACCGACATACCGCTTCTTGGGCCATGCTGAGGCCACGTCCCACACACAGCAATTAGAAAGGGTGTGCAACTATGACATACAACTATCTACTGGGGCTTTGGGGGCAAAAAAAAAAAAGGAGGAGGAGGATTGGCAACAGATGTTAGCTCAGAGCTGGTCTTCCTCAGCAAAAAGAGGAGGATTAGCACAGATGTTAGCTCAGGGCTGATCTTCCTCACAAAAATAAATAAATAAATAAATAAATAAATAAAGCATTTCAAAAAAAAAAGAAGTCAGAGTAGAACCAGGAATTAGGAGCCAATGGGACATGACAGACTGGGGAAGTCTGGAACTTTGTTTTGGGAAGAACTAAAGAATCAAGAGAAAGATTGCTTATTCATTCTTTCATGTGTGGATACAGCACACACTTACATATGACCACTGACTATGGACTGGGTGCTAAGGATACAAAAATGCATCAGACCCAGTCTGTACCAGCAAGGCACTAACAGTTTACTCAGGGCCACAAAGTCCATTATTTTGGGTACTACTATCCTGTAGATGCAGTAACTAAAAGTCAGAGGAGTTAAGTAACTCATCAAAGTATACTCAGCTAGTAACTATCAAATCTAGGTGTTGGATCCAAGTCTTCTAATTCTAAGTCACGTGCTCTTTGCACAATGATGAGCTACCCAGGTATCAGTGACTCAATCATAAAGAAACTGAAGGACTAGGAGGGAACTTTATCCACTGGGAATGGGGCTTCAAGAGAGAATCTTGAGTCACTGAGGAACTGGAGAGTTTCGCCTAGTGGGAAACAGTTGTTAGAGAAGTAGGTACAAAGGACAAATGGAGACCATGGCAACAATTCTCTATGCCAAGCCAGGGAGCATATTTCATTGGTCTTTTTAAATAACCCTCTTCCTCGGTCCAGGAATGGTTTGGAGTTGGGAGTGGGGCTGGTGATAAGCCAGACTATGGAATTTACAGATGCTCAGCTACTAAGTCTAGAAGACTGGGTTTGGAAAGCATGGAGCAAACTAGATCATTTTATCCTTTATCTAGCTTGTTTTGAATAACTATATTTTTGAATGACTTTTTCAAAGTATTTGGATACAGATTTTACAGAATAAGTATTGTTATATCAACATGCACTATTTTCCTTTAAGAACTAAAAGCATCCTCAAACCTC